AAGTCGGTTCCGAAACGTCGGGTTTCTTCAAAACTTTTGGTTGGAGTCTAAATCATCTCCCAGAAAGCCATCAGTGATGTAATAGGAACGACCGGAACCTTGCACTGAGGAGAAAAAAGAAAATGCAACTTGCACATATCTGTTGTCTTTCGTTAGGCCCGCAGCCAAGGGCGAGAGGACGTCTTAGGGCCCCCCTTCCCTTTCGAAATTTGGGTGAAGGGTTTTTTTTTACCGATAATAAGTAATCAAAATGGGTGCTTTTGATTTCCTTAAACTTGACAACCTCTCTTCCCCCGAAAATAATTACCAGCTAAGGGGCCAGCCATGCCCATATGCACAATAATCAGTGTTATTTTTCTTACCACAATCACCTGCACATCTAGTCTCAGATTATCGGTGCCTTACGTACAGCAATTAGTAAAGACTACCAGCAGACATTGAAGCGGGTGATAGCTCGGTTATTATTCTATGGCTGACGCAGTGGTTTAAATGTTTTATAAGCGCGAACATTGCACGAAACGTATCTTTCTGTGTTAGCGTTGCAAAGTAACTTCTTCCAAGAAACTGCGTGTCCGTACGTTCGCATTTCAAATGGCAGATTACAATCTATAAAGTTAAAGCTATTATATTGTGTTACGTAGTCCATTGGCAGGGAGCAATGTGGCATAACTCGGGAAAGTTGGACATAGCAGATGCAACTGCAAGGAACAGTAACACACAATCGGTGCAGAAACAAATTTGGCCATTACAGTTTCCATAGCAATTAAGTAGCTAATAAATAAATAACTCAATATTTGTGTCAGTGACAGCACACGCGGTGACCTCTGAATCTGCCATGCTGCAAGTCCGCATCGCCATCTCATGTTCATTTGAGTCGCGAATATTGGTCGGAAGCAATAAAAGAGAGTAACAGTGGCAGATCTAAACTCTGCATTAGGTTTTTGTTTTCGTGGTTGGCTTCATACCAGCTGAATTGGGAAAAGTTTCAAGCATAGGCTAAGCATATTATAACGTACTTCATTCAGATTTAGCTTATCAAGACTGATTTTTCACATGACGTTTGAATCGGGCTTTACACGCACCAAATATGTAAGAAATTTTGAGCGTTGAGAACCTTTAATGGCCGTTATTGACAAAGCAAGAGAGCTATTTAGCAGCTCTGCTCGTCATAGGCTAATAGGAAGCGACAGCTATTTACTTCAACGAAGCGACGCTTTGTCATCGGCAGTGTCCTTATTTCCGAACACAAACTCGATTGTTTTACGAACACGAGAACAATAGGCGGCTTCGCTGTTATTTTCGACGTACGCTGGATGTTCTGACAAACGGCAGAACAATGGACAATGTTGGCCACTCATTGCAGGTTCAGTGAGCTAACGAGGGTGTCATGAGTCCCGTTATTATTGCGCAACCGTTGGCCGGGCTCCAGGACGTAATATAACACCACCTTACTCCTGCTCACTGCAGCTCTGCGAAAGCTCGTGAAATACATGAGCGTGTGCTTTTATATAAAGCTTTTGTCCTGAGGTAGGTTCTTTTTTTTTCGCCTCCCTATACTATTCAGAATTCAAGCAACACTGCCCGAACGTAGTGAAGAAACGCTGTCTATCTGCTGGTCCTTTCCTACGCAAATTCACTTCATTATATGTAATCTGCATGCCGTTCTTAGCTTCTACATTCCCTAACAGGCTCTATTTGTACTCTGATAAGGGATCTTGAGGATCCATAAATGATGGCGATAATGTAAACATAGCTTTCTTAAACATGTGAACATAATATTCATTTGCATCGTATGCGGCGATAAATTTAAAATTTCGTGGCAGAAACACTTGAATATGGCTAGCTATGTCTTTCACAACGTCGTTCACATCAGCTCATCCCGACTGCACAGCACAACACTCGGATGTTGGACGATTTCATGAACGGAACGTCAGCGGACAGTCTCGTACTCCAGCATCCACGCTTACTGCTAATATGTATGCTACTCGAGGATGCCACGTGCGGGCCTCCAAAGCGACAAGCAGCAGCGCTATAGTAAGCTCAAAGAGAAGAAAAAAAAGAAAGCAAGTGTTGTAGTCTGCGACGTACCTCTGCACTGCGCAATGCCCTGCTTACCCTCCGCCACCCCACTCCGCAAAGTGCTCCTTCACTTGGTGGGTTAATTGCAGTAATTACAAAAATGCGAATGGAGGGGCCAGACTTTTCTTCCTGTGTACCCATACCGTTTTTTTTGCGCTGCTTCATATCAAGAACTGAATTATTATTTTGACACGTAAATTAAGTTGGCAAGTTTCGGTATACTCATTTTCACGGTGATTACGATGAGACAAATTTATTAGAGGTACGATGTACATGCGCACGAAAGATTTAATTATATTTCTATGTATAGGACAAGATTTACAGGGTGTTTATTCGCAATACCGATTTTTAATAAAGAACACTCCAGGCCGGCGTGGAAAGCGCCGCACAGAGACAGCGAATCATGGAAGAGCAGCACTTCTACTGGATGTTGGGAACATTCGTGGGGCGAATAATACAAGCGCTCATGCAAGGAACTCAATACGCCATAAATTGTGTTTTTTTGTCAAGTTGAGATGCGCCCGCTTCGCCATTATTCTTCGTTCTGGAGAGGAGCGAGGCACCCGCTACGCATTAGCAAAAGGCTTCATGAGCATTTTAACAACTCGCTAATACGGTAATTCGGATTTTCTGAAGCACAGCCGTTATTTTGCGGTCCTATCACGCTATTTCACACACGTCAACGTGAAAGAGAGACAACGTTATTGTGGTTTTCAGAAAACGAATCATAGGGACCTTATGGACTCCCTTAACCACTAACACAAGTGCATTCATGAGGTACGCACTACTCTATAAACTATCATGATCTTTGTAAAAGAGGGAAGCACACAATACGCCACTATTCGTCAAAGTGGGAGAACTTTGGCACCGGCGCCACACCTGTGAGGCATTCATGCGTTCTTCGTGCACGCTGTGGCTTTGACGATGAATTGTAACTGAGCCTTTCGTAATGGGTTGAAAAAATTAATGACCTACTAATTATGTTATTGGCGTGGTGTGATGCCTGGTTATGTCATTCATAAAGTGTTATGTCTTGTTGTTCATTACCCTTTCTAATCCAATATGTTACATAGGTTAACGCCGCTCCTTCCCCATGCGAAGCATGTAGCAGTTTCAAGCATCGCCATGATTATGTAACTTAATACTGGGCTGCAATAGAGAGGACCCAGGTCCTAACATCGTGAAATTCCTGATATTTTTCTTCATTTCGATTTTTCTTCCTCTTTTCTTGTGGTAGGAGTTACGGACACCGGCGGCGGCGACGAATCACGGCACCAGATGCGGTCGCTCTTGTAATTCCATAAAAGCTTTCGCTCTAAAAGTGCAATAGGACTCACGCCTAGGCTGAACAAAGTTTGGCGGAATTCGCGTAGTTTGAGAATCGTTACTATGCGAAGCATGCCGGTGGATGGTGACGGTGCTGTAATTTTTTATTGTGTGGAATGTTGCAAAATGGCGCTAAAGGCACGTAAAATTGCACGCTCAGACACACGTTAGAAGGCCACATATTCTTTAATAACCACTTGTTAAACAGTTCCATAATGAGAACCTGACGTCTAGTGGCATACAATTTTTTTGTTCGATTCCAAAAGAACACGCGTGACTTGAGATACTGATTCATCGAAGCTGAAGGACCACAGCCTGTTTATGTGCCAGTTGACTGTGTAGGCAAAGCAGAAAATGTAACCGCTGTTTTGTGTGAGGCGGAGATTTCGCACGAACCCCTTGCTAAAAATGCGTGTCACAGGATGGCTTAGTCGTGAAAAAAACAAGAGCAAATACTTAGGAATATTGAAGTAAAACGTTTATTTGTTACTGACAACTTTGTGCTTTGTAATGTCTTTTGCTGATCTGAAAAGTACTCAACAAAATCACTTTACTGCCAACATTCAATGAACCTAGAGCTTCCGTGTTAAAAAATGTTGATTAGATTTAGTTGCAAGAGAGTGTAAAGCTAGCCGAGTATTTGAAACCTGTTCGAACGTAACGTAACTGGCGTTAGAGGTAAGTGGCGATATATTCAAACAATGCTATTTGTTCGTTGTTTATTTCTATTTATTTGACAATATGGCTAACTCCTAATGTAATCATTGCAGTGTGGGGTAACAAAAACAGTAGCGTAAAACTAAGCAACACAAATGAAGGAACAAACACAAGTCGTGTAGCGAACCAGTTTCAAAAAATGTATAATGACAAGATTAAGCGAAGAGCAAATGCGACTTGCACAAGCAAACATTTAGGGCAACAAGCATGGAATACAAAAGGAAGAAGTTTACAGACTCTGCTAACAAGCATAGAGTCAAATATTTTTATTATCTGCAGCCAAGTTATATATGCGAAACCACTTGAATACACTTCTGAACGATAAGTGTAAGAGGGTGTTAACCTATAAAAAGATGCCTAATCGATGTGATGTCTCGTGATGATTCTGAAATATGTCACCTTTGTTGTCTTTGTGATGCAGTTTTTGTTAAAATTCCCCCTAGAAAAATACTAGGCACTGGCGAGAGGATCAAGTGTGGTGGCCGCGAAAAGGCAAAGCGTGAGTTTGTCAATAGCTCATCGCACCTATTTCATCGACAGTCGACTATCGTAGCCATAGTACAGCAGGTGATATAGGCAGCTGACATCACTGCACCTTTCAACACCCACAGTGTGCGATCAAGTGTGAAGGCATGAAATGCAACCTAACAAATGTGCGTAACGATCTAGTGTTAGAGCCAGTAGTAGTACGCAAAGTTGTAGCGTGAACATGTTCCAGCTGCACAAACTGCTCGCATGAAGTTTAGAAGGTTTGTGTGAGCCTCTTGAAATGAACGTTGTTTCAGCACTATATATTGCACTATGAAGGTCTCAAAGCACAAGCAAGGCGTTATTCTACAGCCGAGTTCACACAAGAAAAAGAACAGACCTACGTGTTCGACAGGAAAATGACTCATATGTTTGCTTTATTTCAGAGCTCATAAAGACAGAAGCCTCGGCAACCACGCCGTTAATTTTTGAGATACGTGACAACATGATCGGATATGGTCAGCCGCACAGGAGGTGGCTTGCACATAAAGCAGCGGCCACCAGAGACTTTTTTCTTGCACACTTTAGGGGCGCTGGGCTCCAGGAGCTCGCAGGCGAATCCAAACAAATCCGTTTCGACCAAGCTCTCTATGTTGTCGTCATGTACACCGTTGATCTGGACGTAGGGCACCCACTTCATTGGCGGCTTGAGTGCAAGCGTTCGCTCACCCATTTTCCGAAGTAGTTGTTCACCTTCCGGTCCTCCGCTGCATTTGTCCAGAGCTGCCCAGTGCGTCCCAACATTGTCAGCGCACAGCTGACCCGACTTAGCAGGGTCGTCTTGACGAAACATGCACGCTACAAAGTTGATAAGCTTCTTGATAGGGTGTACGTACTTGACGGCGCATGCCTGTACTGTGTTGACATAGCACTCTTGAGGACCGTGTTGACACTCGAAGGTAGTGGTATGGTTGGTGACCGTCATGTGCGCTTTCCCGAATGGTACGAGGTCGACGTTCATGAACTCTTCCAGTTTGTTGTAGGTTGGCCACAGCTGGTCCAGGAAGAAGTCGTGACAGTCTGGACACAGCCCTTCGTAGTAAAGTGTCAGGTCGAATGACGTACACTGCACCGGCAACCATAGCTGAACGGTAACAATCAAGACGCAGAAGGCAAGGCCACCCTTCAGAGTGGGCATCGCAAGAGGCATGACTATTTTAGACCACGTCAGCTCACGATTCTGCTACAGAGAAGACTGCCATAGAAGCTCTTCTTGCTTTTTTTATAGTGCACGCATGCTCACAAGTTACACTTTGACCCGCGGAGATAATTGGCCCAGTGCAAACCAGCCGCTGGTCAAGCTCTAATCTCGTGGGGGTTCATATGAGAAATTTGGACTCTACCACGCAGTATATGCCTGATAATCTTTCAGGCTCACGTTGTATTCAAGAGAAACGAAAACAGATAACATTTGACGCACGTAGGAAGAACCGTTATCGCCTGTCTTAACCAGATGTTCTTCTCAAACTGTTTTGAAAGGAATAAAACTGATAGTTGTTCAGTTCAACACGTCTCGTGCTTTTGTGATTGAATGAAGGGGAGAGTTTAATGCATTAGTGTAAATGAAGCACTGTTAATATTCTCATCAGTTGTCACATGACAATTTAGACGGCACATCGTAAACAGGAAATACATGTATATTCGGTAGTTTAAAACGCTGATTCCGGGAAAAATCCGCAGTTACTTTGGAAAATAATCTATACATGAGACAAATGAAAGCACTGCGGTTCAGGTAATTTATCGAAATCATGTTACTATTGTAAAAGTGGAAATTGGTAAAAAATGAATTGCTTAATAATAGCCCGGCAAGAAACGTCACTAAAATACACACCTTTCTTTCTTGAACCGAAGATTTACCTAAGCCGACGTTGGTTGGCGGTGGGGTCTCTGTTCTGTGACTCTGTTAACACTATGTTATTTAGTTTCATCGCAAAATGCGCCAGTGTACAAGGTTGCTTTGAAAACTAAGAAAGTTTACAAACTTACGTTTCATTCAAAGAACCAGACAAGAATAGTTTTGGAGTTCTATATGGTTAATTATAGCATTTTACGTACGCTTTAGCGTCAATGAACGTGCATTTGTCTTCGCAACTCATCTTAATCCGTTCACAGCTGCTGGAAATTCAGTAAGACTTGTTTGAACCACAGAATAAGTGAGTTGATATTCGATAAATTTATCTTTATAGCACAGAAGTGTGACGAGTGCTATAAGTCACTATAGTCGTATATCTTTCCTGCAGAACTTTTTAGATGACAAATTCACAGTCCCGAGAAATGAGTTTCACTCTCTAAGCGCTGGCCATATTAAGTAGAGCTAGTTGTGAAAGCACTGCATCTGCTGACATGTCTGTTTTTTTTTTTTTTCATCGTTCTTTTGTCAATTATTAGTTTCCAATCACCCGTTCTGGAGATAACAACAAATGAATCGTTACAAGATGTTCCAAGAGCGCGTGCTTCTATCACAACAAATCTTCATATAGCTCATATCCGTAGTTTTATGACGACTATGTTGAAAGCCTCAACAAATGTTTACCCGTCTTTGTAAGCATCTAGGTTCCTTCCATAGGTAGGTACCGGTAAGATGCGACTGTTGTATACCTTCCTCTTTAGGGATAGTGGTAGACTACCATTCGTGATTTGAGAATGCTTGCCGAATGTGCTACAGCCTATTCTTAAACTTCTAGTTATTTCACTCTCACAGTTGAATTTAACCTATATAGAGGACGACGCAGCGAACGATGGAAAGGAAAATAATAGGTGTAACCCGAAGAGGCAGGAAGAGAGTATAGCGTGTTAGGAAACCAACCGGAGTTAACGATATCATAGCTGAAAGCCACAAGAAATGAACATTTGGGCCGAGCACGTCGCGCGTGGGGAGCTTAACCACTGATCATTAAGGGTAACTGACTATATTGCAAGAGAAGGCAAACGTGTGCGCGGGAGACAGAAAATGAGGTGAGTAGATGAAATTGTCAACTTTGCAAGTATTCGCAATGACCATAGACTGTCACTCCGTCATGCGGAAATCAGGAGCGTCCTCTCGAGAAGGGTCAGTAAAGTAGCACTACACAACCACTTCCTTGTTCAGCCGTGCTAGTCTCGGTGTTAACGCGTCAGCCAGAAACGAACATTACGAATTTGCATGTCTCCTGAGTCATCAAAAAAATAAGGCCCTTCGTGACCCGATAAATCAGCTCATTTGATCTAGCGAGAAGCGATGACTTCGTCAAATAACATGACAGCAGGCGCTTTCAATGATAACTCAGGGCGTAATTATATCAGCTTCTCGAGGTTTTCTGTAGCCACATATAGGTTAATATGTAATCCTCTCACCTATTTGATTTAGGCTCACCTCGTTTTGCTTGCATAAAGAATTTTTCAGGGCTTTTCTACCGCATGTATCTCATATTATTGGGCGCGATTTTTGTTGTCAGCGCTGTTCCGGCTGTGTTTCTTGTTTTTGTACGTTTGCTTATAGGTAACACCATGGCAGCACATTGCAAGTGATTTGCTTGTTGACCGCCTTGAGGGCAAAATGTTCACCACGTCCGCACAAACGGTGGTGTGATGGAACTCATTCGGTGGAGGGAATTCATCAGATTACTTTAAGTGATGAAATTGGGGGGGAAAATTGTCTTCACGACAAAGATTTTTCACTTGACGTAGAAGGTTGTGGGAGTGCCAAGAGTTACAGCGACAATTAACGATCAGCTTCTAACTCACAAAGAGGAAGTTTCAGCTTACGTTTCCTCGAGTATTAGTTCCATCACGCTCCTGAGTACTTTGATTGTATCTGATGTATTATATCCAGCATCGAAATCATAATCAAACCTTACTTCTTGCTGTGCATTGCGTGCCATGGTAGTTATTCTGGATATTATGGAACGTCGCATGCCACCAACGGGAAGAAACTCGACCAGCTAAGCAAAATGGTTGTAGTGATGAGACCTACAGACACGGGCTCAATTCACACTTTTCGGCTAACTTCTGCTATACATCACCGGCACATTCCAAAGGGCACAGTCATTCGACAAACTTTCGCAACGCGAAAAATTCTTCGTTAAGAAAGGCATCTGTGTGTATTCTTTGCCATATTTATGCTCATCAAACCTCCAACATACAAGTGACTTGAATTGCGCAGTGCTTGAGTATAAGCACGGCTGTGATACAAGCGCTACTGAAGGGGTTGTCAAAGGCTTGTGTTCCATTGAAGAAGCACCTCCACGTTCCTGAATGCGCAAAGACGACGGCGTATCTTTGTAAGCCACTACTATGTTAAACATTCGGTGCCGTGCAGCTGCGATAACGTTACCAGGTCCCGGAAACCCTCAAGTTCAAGTGATCACCTGTAGGGGGCGAAAAAATCAACCACGGCGCGCTTATGCTCAAACACCCGAAGTGGATCTACTAACCTCTCTCGCCACTCGTGCTATTGCACTTTCTTGTAATGGCACCCTCGTCGAGGCCAAGTTTCAATTCAAAATGATCAAATACTACATGTTTGCGTACCACTACAGATAAAGAACAACTTGTTCTTATAGCGGGTGGTTTTTTTTAACATGTGTTGCGTCATCAGTTTCTGTATCAGTTTTTGCTGCAGGTGACTCGTAGTCAGCAGTAGCCTATCGACATCATTATCATCATTCCAAATTTATATATGGCGGCCAACGGTAGCGACGGCAGGTAACGGCTAGCGGTACGTTCGGATATGTCTCGCACTGTTTCGTTTCACTGTAAATATTTCGGGCCACTGCTGACCGACACACGCTTTCTTGTTGTGTTGATTTTGACTTATTCAAATGCTTTCGCGAAGGGAATGCAAGTGACTTCCAAGGAACGAAGCGACCGTTGAGCTTTGATCGGATGAAAACCCGTTGCAAGCCCGAGAATTACGGGCTGGCGAGTAGAAACCACATAGATTTTTTTAAGGGCGGTTGCTTGCTGAGCTAAATGGTTCACTTCAACATATGTAGCTTTTTTTGCTAATTATTACGTAGGCGTCATGCGGAGGCAGTGCATTGCAATATAAATATATAAAATCTTTTAACGCATCAATGTGTCACCGGAAAAACGTGCGTTACTCGCGGCGTGGCTTCGCGTGGGAACGAGTAACTGACTCAATATTTATTTCTGAAATTCTATCACCAGGTAACACAGACCAGGCCATTGTGATGAAAAAGGCAAATACATCATTGTCACCTCGCATGTGTCTTCATAGTTAGCCCATATATTAGTTAAAAACCTACGAATTAATAGTTTACCGCAGTCGCATTTGAGAAACGTTACATAATTATGGTGTGGTTTTGTTTTAGTGTGACAAAAAAGGGTCACATAAATCAAAAGTACTACTTTTTCAGCCACAGCCTCCTGGCCTACCTGACATGGAACCACCTATGTACAATGGGTAAGGAACCTGCTACATGACATGCCTTCTAAAAAGCAGCCCCGAGTGACACATGTGTTATGAGGTACCATTACATATATGTAAAAAATACTGCTGTTCACTAGTTATCTGAGTTTAATTGTTTACTATTGAAAATTTCATGCAGTGATTATGCATCGATTTCATGCATTGATATCTGGTGATGTTACTTGTTTTCCCAGACTGGCATGCAATGACAGGATGACTATACCCGAATGTCCACTCTGCAAGCACGTTGAAACACCTGAACGTCCACTACAAGAGGTCGTCTCGAACCTCACACATGCAATGGTATATTTGTGAATGTTTTACCACGCATATCATGAAGGGGAGCTTTAGATTGGCCACAAGCATTGGCTGTCTACCGTGGCATGGAAGACGCTTGTGTGCTTAAGGGTTTGTTCCATTCGCCTGCACCACATGATCCATTTCATGAAGTGCTGCACCTCACCATTTCGTTTCAGTGGTGCAGCAATGGCATCCTCTAAACCGTGCCATTCATTTCAAAAAGCGCAGGAGAGGTACAGCACTATAACTAGTTCGTGGATTTTCTGCACCTCCTACTCTGACGGCGCAGGTTTGGTGCAGCCGCACGCACAGCTTAACAAACAACATGGCATTAGACGTAGGTGCCGTACCCGCCTCTACAAACGTGACGTATTTTGTCAAGATGTTTGCACCTCATTAAATTAAGCGAACAAAAATAAGGATTCCACCTTGTCGGCACG